TCAATCTAGGGTGGAGATCAGATGGGTTGATCTGAAATTATGAAGAAGAATGAGACACATCGTCCAAGATTCTGTGGGCCAGTCTGAATTAAAGAGATAAGCTAATAATATTCTAAATTAGTATTTTTATAAATTAAAAAAAAAAAAAAAAGGCTAAATTAGTAAAAAAGAATGGGTTCCACGAATTTCGGCTAATTTAGTGACTGATCATGAGTTTAAGAATACTCTCTCCATTAGAATGATGTCTTTTGGGGAAGCCCACATCAAAGTTATAAAAGCTTATGCTTAAAGTGGATTATATCATACTATTGTGGAGAATCGGTGTTCATCTAACACTCTTGTTGATAACACAGTGATCCAAACATGGATACATAATATGGTTTCAATTTTCAGTTTCTCCACCTACTTCTATGTTGGTCATTACAAATCCGACCCGACAAGTTAAATAGATATATATATATACTTTCAAAAAGAAATTGTTAGAATATATTTTTTAGAAAATAGTAAATTACAAAATAAAAGCGATAAAGATGAAAAATATTAGCTTTGATTATTATACATGTGAAAGGTTGGAATATTCTTTTATTTGAAAAAAAAAATATCAAAAGTCAATTAAGTAATTGGTTGGAATATTCTTTTATTTAAAAAAATATTAAAATTGACCGAGTAAAAAATACGAAAAGAGGGACAAATGACTCGTCCTTTTAAAAATATTAGATTATAGATTATGTCAAATTACACCACTATGATACCATGATTTCTCTTTTTTTTTTTTTTTTCGTAATAAATTTATAGCATATAAAACGTGACAGAAAGATGTTGATATATTTAGACCTGGACATCATTTCAAAAAGAAAATTACTTTTTATTAATATTTAAAAGTAAATTTAAAGTAAATTCATCCTAATAATATCATAACATCATCTACTATATAAAAATTGATGGAGGGTTATAAAGTTTCATTCTAACACTAAATATATAATATCTATAGAATTTATCTTCTGATCCAAATAACATTATCTATTAATACGAGAACAAAAAATCGCCATCAATGAAATGGAATAGCGATCAAATGGTGAAAAGTGCATGAAGGGTCGACAAGTTGAAGTTTCACTGTGGAGCCAAACGAGCACGAAGCCAAAGTTAGAAACGAATGCAGTCATCCTTCTTGAAACGAAACCATGATGCTAAAACAGTATACTCAATCAAGAGCCAAATATCAAAATTGTTCTTCTCGATTACATGGCTACAATTTGTAGAAGGAGTTGAGCTTACTCGATTGTTAACGGTGAATTCTATAATTTTTACGACTCGCTTGACTTTATATCTTTATTTTTATTCTCTTCTAATAAGATCAAGAAACCTCGTTATCATAGTCCATACGAAATAGCAAAACTCTTTCCGTTTGGTGGGTGGGTTTAATGTTAGTTTCTCGAGTAATTAATGAGTTTGGATAAGATCCTGAATTTGAAAACTCATTTTTAACTAAACCACTCTCATTCATCTTTAATTATGCTCTGTTCGAATATTAACTATTAAAAGATTAAATGAACACGACTCTCCACAATAGTATGATATTATCCACTTTGAACATAAGATCTCATGGCTTTACTTTGGGCTTTCCGAAAAGGTCTCACTCTAATGGAGAGAGTATTCTTTGATTATAAACCCATGATCATTCCCTAAATTAATCGATGTGGGACTTTCATCATCCAACAATGTAAATACGATATGTCATTTATGGTAGAATTTGTGATTTGATCTCGAATGGGTTAAAATTAAATAATATAGCTAAATTTTGTGTTGGGTAAATTTTTTACACTTAAAAGATTCCATAAAAATATTATATATTCGTTAGAATATATTTTTTAATATTTAGTAAAAATTTAATGTTTTAAAAATTATTCTCGTTTTTTATTTTATTTTTTTATGATAATGATATTTTAATTACAAAACTACCTTCAACACAAATAAAATAAATTATAATTAAAATAATTCTACGCTTTCGCCGGCGAGGTTGTGGCGGTTAGAGTCGAGTAAGATGCGGGCGGCGAATTCAATTGAACCATCCCGCCGATGGGTCTCCCCTTTCCTCCCTCCGCCGTCTTCTGCCGTTGCACGACTCTCGCCACCGGGGTCACTTGCCCCGTCGTCATCGCCATGTACTTCGGTGGCGGCGGCGGCGGTTCCCACATGCTTCCGACCACCACGAATTTCTGCACAGCGCTGTCGTGCATGGCGGAATTTGTCGGCCGTCGTGCGTGTAATCGGTATTTCTGAAATTAAATTAAATTAATTTAATAAAAAAAATCATATTAAAAAAAAAACTTTTAATTAATTGGAAGAAATATGAACCTGTAAATGGCTTTTGACTTCATCGTTAGTCAAATCGTCAACCTTCATTAACTCGCGAATTTGTTTTGGTGTAGCAACTGTAATTAAATAAAGTAAAATTACTGAGAGTTAATTCTTTTTTTACTGTGATAAAATTAATTTTTTTTTTTTACCTTGAGGGCCGCCCAGTCGTTGAAGGGCACGAACGAATCGCCGGTGTAACTCCGACGACCAGCGCCGCCGCCGTTTTCTTTGAGTTTGAGATTCCTTCTCTTCTCGTTGACTGTTTCCGCCGCTGCCTTTGGAGACAGTTTCCACCGTCGAACTCGCTGTCGCCTCCATCACCGGAGAACAACAGACCGTTTTTCCGACAACCGCCGCCGCCTCTGTTTCGGATGGATTTTTCTCCTGAAATGGCTGAAAACCACCGCCCACGCCTTTCTTTTCTTCCTCAACAACTGCCGACGGCGGTTTCTTAGCAACATCCTGGAAAAAAGAACAAAGTTGACACAACTTTCCCAGAAAATCCTCGTCAATTTTCTCGGCAGCCAAACAGACAAAAAAACAGAGCAATGGAATTATACCTCAACAACCGGAGGATCCGACGTTTGATTCCAAAGCTGAGCGGATTTAAGCCAATCCAATGGACCCACTTCATTTATATCTGGTTTTGATTGTTCAAAATTGGGATCACCGGAATCTTTTCTGACCGGAATGAACTCCTCCAAAACAGGGCCATCGGAAGAAGTATGCTCTGAACTCTCCGACAAGACCCCAGATAACTGCTGCCGGCAAGAATCAATTGCTGATGCAAAAACCCACAAAATTAAACAAAAAAACATACAACAATATAAAAACCGCCATAGATTCCGGCGAATTACCTCTGGTAACAAGCTCCACACAGAGTGGGAGTTCTCTCTGAAAAACCAGAATCTTTCTGCGTTCTTGATCCAGAGCATCGACATAGTGCCGCAAATCCATTCCCACACGAATATCAACGACATTATCGGGGAAATCCATGAATGATTTTGAATCAAAGTTAATTTAAGGATAATAAAAATATAAAACATATAAAAATATGAGACAATCAAAAACAGTATAATGGAATAAAAATATGAAACCGAACATAGAAATAAATAGGGTTTAGTGGGGAAGAAGAAGATGAAATATAAATAGATTTAATAAATCTAAAATTTAAAACAGAGATAATGGAGTTTTAGAGAGAGAATCAATGGAGGATTCTAGAGTGAGACTAGTCGAAGTCGAGATTTCGCATACATATAATCTTAAATATTGGAGAATTTATTTTATTATTATTAAATTTATATTTAAAATTTTCAATTTCATAAGTAATAGATCATGTAATTTTAAATAAAATTAAACACTAAATTTTTAATCATTTTATTTATTTATTTATTTTAATCATATTAGAACTATATTTAAATATTATTACGATGAAATAAATTCATGTTAGCGTAATTACGATACAAAAATAAATTGATATTATTTTTGTTTATAGAAACGATTACACCAATTAAAAACGCTTTTTGTTTATAAATTAGATAGGCAAATATTTGTGTAAAAATAATATAAAAATTTACTAAATAATTGTTTTTTTAATAAGTTTAAATACAAATTAATTTAAATAATTATGTTTTTTGTTAGGATTTTAGTTATGTATTTATTTAAAATTTAAAATAAAATTATCATTTAAGAATTTGTGTTTATTTTTAAATTAAATAATATTTAAAAAATCTTAAATTAAAATATAAATTCGTTTCTAATATAGTTTTCTTTTAAAAAAATGTTACAATGTATATGGTTACAAAATATAAATATAAATGTGTATATAGTGACAGTAAATGTGCATATTAATTTTGGGCTGGCCTGATGTTTATTTACCCGTCAATATTCTGATGGGCTTGGGCCCAATAATTGGGTTTGAATTAAGCCCATTTTATGTAGAAATTTGGAGACTATAATTATTGAAAAAGAGTAATTTTATTTTTATTTATTTTAATTATATTCATAACAGTTTTATATTATTAGGTTAAATAATAATTTTGATTTCTTTTTAATCATATTTGTGTAAATACTCTTTTAAAATTTAATAATTTAAATTTTGTTTTTAAGTAGCTATTTGAAATTATCAAAATTAGTTTTTTCAATATTAATGAATAAAATGTGCTTCAAAAGATTAAAAGTATATGTAAGATATGATAATATTTTTATTAAAATAATTAAAAAAAAAATCTATTTATTAATACTAAAATCTCAAAAACCTCCTACACAACTATAATTTTCATAATAATATCAAGAATAAATATAATATTTCAAATCTAGCGTATATTTTTCTCTTGATGCTGTTAAGTATCGCTGTCCACCTTACAGTTTTAAAACTCGTTTGAGGAGAAGTTTCTACGCCCTTCAAATATTTCATTCCCCTCTCCAACTAAGGTGGAATCTCACAATCCACCTCCCTCTGTGGTCCAACGTCCTCGCTCACACACATCCACCGGGTCTGATACCATTAAAAAAACTAAGCCCACCAACAAATTTGTCAGATTTGACCATGATTAGGTTCAATTGTAACGGTTGGATGATGAAAGTCTCACGTCTACTTATTTATGGAATGATCATGGATTTATAAACAAAGAATACTCTCTCAATTGGTATGAGAGGTCTTTTTGGGAGTAGAAGCAAAACCATGACAGCTTATGCTCAAAGTGGACAATATCGTACTATTCTGATTTCCGTTTTAGAAATTACTCTCATTTATACAATTGTTTTTGCTTGTGAGAGAGGGGCATTTTTGCAAACATAAATATTTTCTATCAAGTCCCTCAAAACACGTGCAATAAATTAACAAAAAAAAAAAAAGAAAAAAAAAAAGGAAATTGTACGTTACAATGCTCCGACGATCCTTTGTTTTTTGTTACATTCTGAACTCAAAAACTCCATTTCTCTTCTCCTCTTCTCACCGCACCCACTACTCGGCGTTACTTTCATAATGTCCACTCCAAATAATCTCACCGTCTGAACCGGGTTCGTGTTGGACCCGGTCGAGGCTGCACTCTTACTCGCCTTCCATTCAATGTATAGCTGCTTATCTTCACCGGTCGATTTCAAGAAGCTCACGACGTCACCGGCGGTTAGGTTCTTCTCCTTAACGAACCGGCTCCACCCTTTGGTCAACACGTAGCTTTGACTACTATTCCAATACGAGTACCTGAACCGCCACACTTTCCCGACGCCGTCTTCGAAGTTTAAGAGAAGTCCTTTGGACGAAGCGGCTGAACCGGCGGAACCGGTTTGGAGAGGGAAGTTTTTCTCGGCGTGTTGTTTAGGGATAACTAAACGGTTCAATTTCCCAACATCGCTAGGCGTAACGGCTTTTTCAAATAAAAGTTCCCGAGCGGAATCCGGTTCATTATCCGAACCGGGTAATAACGAACCGTTTCTTTTACGATCCGAAGATAACAAATCGGCGTTTCGTTTGCTTTGGTGTAGTTCGTCTAGGTAGGTATGTTTACGTAGCATGTCAACGATTTCAGCTTTGGAATGAGAGTTAAGAAAGGCGGATACGACGTCGTCTACTTGGCCGTGAGATAACGTTTTGAAATTGGTAACGGCGTCACGACCACGGAAGCGTTGAGCAGCCACGTCGTAGGCACGTGCGGCTTCATCTTCTTCATTGAATGTTCCCAGCCATACCCTTTGGTGCTTCTCGTAAATCTGCGCGCCCCATCGGCCATTGGGCTGTGGGACCACTCCTTTGAAACGGGAGGAGGGTAGCTTCCGGGATTCAGCCTCGACGCCGCCACCGACGGCGGAGCTGGAGTCAGCAGAGTCCAAAACGAGACTGGTGTCGGGCGGCGGAGATTTAATGGAAGTGGTGGGTTGGTCCATTTGTGAAAGAAGGGTATTTGGGGGAATGAACTGGAAAGGCGTGTTGGGGGTGGGTGGATTTATATAACAGCCGGTGGACTTTTAATTAATGTTTTTTCTTTTTTCTTTTTTCTTTTTTTAAATAAATAAAATAAATAAAAAAGAAAGTCCATAAATATGGAAAATATGGGTCAACTGTGAGAGAGGGTGATTAATTTAGAGAGAGAAAAGGAAGGTAAGGGTATGGAGGAGTGGGGCCCGGGGGAGGCAAGTTGATGGGGTTCACATGACCCTGGACCGTGTTTTATTTAAGTTCATCCCCCCTGAATTTTGCTGCGGATTCTTTTTTTTTTTATTATTATTATTATTTATTTTTATAATAAAGGAAAATAAATAAATAAATAAATAAAAGAAGGAAAATTCTCCATGTGGAATGTATCTTATCTGATGATACTGCTCCTGCTGCCGCCTGCTTCCTCTATTATTTGGTTTGCTTTGTTGGTACCAATCCGAATCTTACCTCCTTCTTTCTTTTTTTTTTTTTACCTTACCTTTTTTTTTTTACCAATTTATTACAGTAAATTTAAATTTGGTTCTCGATGGCTCCAACATTGGTGTCTGTAGAGAGGGGTACGAATGATTTATTGTAAGGTGTTCGGGAAATTTCTCCTATTTTAAAATTTTTATGGAAAGCCCAGATGCGAATGTCGGAAGAGGATAATATTTGTTAGTCGTGGATTTGGGTTGTTACAAATGTTATTAGAGTCGGTTACTAGATAGTACGAGTCAATATTTGTTAAGGGTGGGTTTTGATTGTTACAAATGATATTAGAGTTAGTTACTAGATGGTGCAAGAGTCACTTATTGGAGTAGGACTAGACCCTCTTCATAACATATGCGTTTTAAAGCCTTGATCATGGATTTATAAGTCGGGAATACTATCTCTATTGGTATGAGCTTTTGGGGAAGCCCAAAGCAAAACCATGAAAGCTTATGCTCAAAGTGGATAATATCATATGGAGAATCGTGATTCCTAACAAACTCAAGAGTGTCTCTAATCCAAACATAAACAGAGTTACAATCCTTTCCTCTTGTTTAAAAATATTTAATATTTGTAACTGGAATCAATTATATATAGTAAATGTTTGATATTTAAATTTTATTAGATTTGAGTTAAAACATGGTAGAAGAGTATAATTTTTTAAATAATAATTAAAAAAAACTTAAATAACTCAATTGGGTTAAGTTGGGACAGTAAACTTTAGTGAGACTACACAAATCACCTATCTAACCAACTCTAAAAATTTTGAGTCGTAAAAAGAAATTCCAACCCAACCCAACCCAACCCAACCGAATAGAGCCCAACTCGTATACCACGTAACCGTTGTACCTCCAAAACGACTCACATTCAAATACAATTTTCAATTTATTTATTTAATTTTAAATTACTCGAGTGTCGCATGGGTTATGTTACATGGTTGGGAGTTCCAGTAGGATGGGAACTATACTCCAAACCAAACCCTAATTCCACCCCACACCCACCAGATTCCTCCTCCTCCTCTTAATAAAAGTACTATAATTATCTTGTTTTCTTATTCCCTCCCATTCTTCACATCGCGTCCAATAATTCCACCTCTCCATTAATCTGCACCGTCCCTTCTCCATCTCAATCAACGGCTCTCCAATAACCCTCCCCGGCCCCACTCCCACGCGCCTCCTTTATTTATATTATTTTTTATTTGTACATTTGGCTATGCCTGTACGGAATTGTCCTGGGCTTTTCTGTGGACCCCACCTTTTTTTTTTCTTTTTTAATTAATTTAATTTAACATCCTTTCCTATTACTAAAGATTATAATAAAGATAGAAATTGTTGAAGTACTAGGTGAGTGGCCATATTAAATCGCCCAGTCACTTTCATAAATATCCACGTCATCCATCTTAACTTAAATAACAATAATTTATAAATAATTAAATAAATCTATTAATAATATCAAATATTTAAAACTTTGGAATAAAATAAGGGTAAATTTTTAATTAATGCTGCACCAATTTGGCAAAATATAAGTTATTAATTAATTATTATTATTTTTTTTGTAATGATGAGGTGTCATTCAAAGAGATGAGGCTGTGTGTAGCTGCTTTTGTTGACTACAACAAACCTTAATTATGATTGGCTATAATGTGGGACCCACTCAATGACCCTGTGTGCCACATAGACCATCCCTCTTCTCTTCTCTCCCATTGGTGGAGATTTGGTTTTATTATTATTATTATTAATAAAAATAAATATAGGGTAAATGTGAAAATATTAACAAAATTAAGGCACGTGATTGTGATTTAAAGTAAATCGTGTCACTATGCACGTAACTCATCAAGGGTTTATTTTAATCGATCGTTAATTTTATACATTAATGAGAGACTTTTTACTGATTATGACTGATTTATATGAAAAATTACTTATTCGTCCTTGGAATATAGTTTTTTCTTAATCCAATAATTTATTGAATTTATCTATGTTCGTAATTTATCAGGTCAAAGAATGGGTCGGACCGAGATTGAATGCAGATAGGTATAGTCCTTGGGAATATTTTATTGTTATAAAATAAAGCATATTATTAATGATATTATTCCAGTGTTATGTTGAATAATTAATATCCACTAATTATTATTCTTTCTCCTAATTATCATTAAAAAGAAAATTAATTGGGTAGATTATTGACGAGATTAGATTAGCCCATGCATAATCAACGGTTATTATTAATTTCTTTTAAAAAAAAAAGAAAAAAGAAAAAGAAATGTGAACGCACGTTAAATCACATGCAAAAAAAAAAAAGGAAAAAAAAATTATATGGACCCCTCATTTTGGGGTCTTTATTTAAATATGAATAAAGAATGCAAGTGGGGGCTATAAAAAGACGAATACGTCATGTTTGCCGACATGGGGAACTCAGAAATTTGATTTATTTTATAGTATTTTTTAGGGGTAAAATGGTCAAATGAAAAATTGGCCACTTGGAAGGGAAGCAGCTTGGGTGTGGGGGTTTGGATAAGCTTTAATTTTTACTTGTTTTCTTATTCTGTGGGCTTCCTTATTATTCATTTCTCACTTTCCACCTTCACGTGCATTTATACTCCGGGCTTACGTAGAAGATTCCACATCTTTATAAGAAATGTCGGGTTTGGATTCATCAAAGTTTTAAAATGCATCTACTAGAGAGAAGTTTTCACGATCTGAGATCTCATAATCTACACTCTTTGGAGGCCCAACGTCCTCGTTGATACACTGCCCATTGTCTGACTCTAATACCATTTTGTAACAAATCGACGTGAGATCTCACAATCCACACCCTTTAAAGGTTCAGCATCATTGCTAGCACACCGTCAAACGTTTGACTCTAATACCATTTGTAACAACCTAAGTCCAACCCATTACATATCCCCGTCAGCCTCACTATTTTAAAACGCGTATGTTAGAGAGAGGTTTCCACGCTCTTATAAATAATCTTTCGTTTCATTCTTCATCCAACACGAAACTTCACCATCCGGAGAGACTCGTCCTCGTTGAATCGTAGTTTGAAGGATGAAATTAGCTATGAATTCAAATTTGACATTACAAAACGCCTTAAGACAAGTCATGCAGACAAAATAATAATAATAAATAAATAAATAAATAAATAAAAATCAGTCCTTGGAATCCAAAGATATGGGAACTTGCGTATATCTAAATGCATTGCATCTCATATATTATAGTTTTATTTCTCTAAAATATTTTAATTATTCACTAAAATATTATAAACATACCCATTTGATAAATATATATATATATTTTTAATATTTTATATAATTGCAATATTATTTTCCTTTAATTAGTTGAGAATTTAAAATATTTCACAGTATTTGAACACAACAATTTCCATAATTATTAAAACAGTCAACATAAATTAATGCAAAAATTAATAAAAAAAATAAAAATAAAAATATTTGAAATCTGATTGGTCAAATAGTTTACTTGCTTTTGCAGTAGACTTCAGCTGGGAATCATACTATTAATATCAACTTGACGTATTACCCAACAATGGCAAAAAAGTCTAATATCAAAAGCTAGTGGCCAAAATTATAATTTTTAAAAATATATAATTATTGTATTATTTTATTCAATTTGTCTTAATTAAATAATTTTTATATTGGATTCTTCTTTCTGGGATTTAATAAATAAAAAATATCGACATTTTCCACTTCACCCTTGTGGTGTTGTAAACTGCGACGTGGCCTTTCCTCCAACGCTTACTATAATACTAAACTACGCATTATCTAATTACCCACTTTCATTGCTTAATCACTCTTATCAAATCTAATTCATTAAATATTATTTATTGGTAGTGCCGTTACTTCTGGTCGATGAGTGTATACGCTGTCTGTTTGTATGTAATACTGTATTTGGACTAGCTCGACTCCAGTGCTATCAGGGTTTTTAACGTAAAAGGTGATTGACCGTTTGTTAACGTGCAGGAACCTATTAGATATCTCAATTGTGGGATTGGATTCTCGAATACGTGAATCTCGAATCCGAAGCTATTAGGGTTTCTAACGTAAAAGGTGATCGACCGTTCGTTAACGTCTAGGGATGTCAAGCAGATGGGATTGAATAAAGGGAATAATGAAGAACTTGGAAAAGTCAAAGTCAAAGTCAAAGTAACGTTGGCAGAGTAATTACTAATTAGTCCTCGTCGACGGTTGAGAAAGTCATGCACTGGTAAAGAGTTGGCAAGTGGGATGGGCCTACCGGGTAACGCGTCATTTTAAACCGGTTGGGCTCATCTCATTAGGCCGGAATAAATTCTTTAATAAAACGCATTTAATATTATATCTATATTTAATTTTAATTAATAAAAATACCTCATTTTTATAAACATTAAATAATATCCTTACACTTAAATAATGTCTAAAAATACCATTTTTAAAATACTTCTGAAAGTGTATTTTTTTAAAAAAATATTGGTAATTTTCATCTAAAATTGATCGTCTCTCAAAAATAAGTATTTATTTATAAAGTTCAAGGATATTATTGAAACTTATGAAAGTTTAAGAATATTTTTGTGATAAAACAACGATTTTTTTTAATTTAGCTTTTCTTTTTCATATAAAATTTACAATTATTTCGTAATGGTTGCATAATTTTCATTTTTATAATTAATTAAAAAACAAAATAAAACTATCCCTTATATTTTTAAATCATTTATTTAGTATTTTATAAATACATACTTTATATATATATATTATAAATTCTAGAATTTAATATAGTTTTATATCATGTTTATATATATTCATTGGCACATTAAATGACCTAGCTGGTATCATTAAATGAACACGGTCTATCCATCATATATACTGACCTTCCATCTTTATTGGCCTATATAATTCACATATTACAGATTTTGATATATACTTAGTATATTTATTGAACGCTAAAATAAAATATTGGAACAATACCTATAATCTGTTCGATAAAATTTTCCCGAACATATGTTGAAACAAGTAGTACAAAATTAAGAGAAAGAGAAATGTATATACCAACAGTAGGAGCGACGATAGTAATGAAACACGCAAGACAACGAGATAAAGTGTCGAGGGACACGATGGAAACAACAACGATAGTTGTAACTGCACGATAACGATGATATGATGATGACGAAAAATTGAAGGATAGACGATGGAAATACATAACATAGTTTCTATTATGTTGGGGTACGAGATTTCTAACGAACAACCGAATTCTCGTACATGGGCCTTGTTTAATGTCGGAGCCCATGGGCTTGGTCCAGAATCAACAAGACAGATGCGGGTTGGCCCACAAAAGTAAAGCAGCTCAGGCCCAAGAAAGATTCAAAAATTTAAAAAAGGGATTTAATTTGATTATATATATTTAATGTCACATCATAAATGTAAATATAGAATAAGAAAAAAAAAAAAAAAGATTGTGGTTAAAATTATTGATTTTTTTTTTTCATTTTAAAAAAATTTAATTTATGAATAGACAATGAACAAAGCGAACAATATGTGCTAGTCGTGGGTTTGAACTGTCTTTGTGTTTGAATTTTTATAAAAAAAAGAAAAAGTGTATTTTTTATTTATTTTTAATTAATTACAAGAAATAAAGAGCAAAATCCAAAAGAAATGTGCCCATATTCTTAAATACACTTAATGTGGGGATTGAATGCAAATTTGCAAAAAGGCCCCTGCTTCTCCAACCCCTTTTGATGGGAAACCAGATTCTTTTTTTTATTATTATTTATAATAATAATAATAATAATAATAATAATAATAATAATAATTATTATTATTATTATTATATAAAGTTAAGGAGCGTCCACGTGGGGGAGTTTTGTTTTTTATTGAGATTACAAAATCATAATTAAAAATAAAAAAGGAAAAAAAAAGACGTGCACGTGTAAGTCTGACGCAATTTCTGAGCATTCCTTGTTATTTAGAATTATGAAAAATAAAAAAAGAAATAAAAATAGAAGAATCCCAGTAAAAGACACACTCTGCCACTGTTCTTTTATTTATTTATTTCTTTTATTTTTAAATTTTTTTTTAAAAAATTCCTTTTTGATTCGTGTGATCTTTCTCGTAAAACTTTTACTCACTGAAGTTTGTCTGTTTTGTGTATTTTTACTATTTCATCTCTTCAATTTTATCTCTGTTTGTCAGTGTTTTTTTATTTTTTTTACCTTGGGGGTAGTTTGAATATCGAGAATTGTTTGGGTATTTTTGACTTGGACATATACCTACCACTGTCAAATTTATTGGGACCACAGTAAAAAAAGAAAAAAAAAAAAAAAAAAAAAAAAAGTTCGATAGTGACGCTCAAATATTTTAATACAATTGCATTTAATTTTTATTATTTTAATTATTAAAAAAAAAAATTTCTTAAAACTTTAATATAAAAAATTTACGAGTCTCACTACCATTGTCGAATATTTTTAATTTTCATAGTAATTTTAAAAGTAGAATAAAATTAGGTTAGTTTGGATCGTGAATCCTATTTTTTTATTGGTTGAGTTAACCCGATAAAAAAAAAATTCCAGGCTCACAATTCTTTGTTCGATATTTGAAAATTCTATTGTCATGATTTTAGAAATCATTATTTGTTCGATATTTGAGTATTCTATCGTCATGGCTAAGTTTAGGGCATGACTCTAATACCATGTTACGAATCACGGATCTCCACAATGATATGATATTGTCTACTTTGAACATAAGTTCTCGTGACTTTGCTTTGAGCTTCCCCAAAAGGTCTCGTACGAATGAAGATGTATTCCTTTACTTATAAACCCATTATCATTCCGTAAATTAGCTAATGTGGGACTCACTCCCAAATTGTTGGAGTTATTAAGGTATAGGAAACTTGTAATTATAATTTTATATTATTTAATTTACTATTTATTTATTTTTAATTAAAAAACTAGCATTAACGAGGGATATGATCCCAATTTGGAGGAACAGGAGACGGGGAAGGCCGGTTGCTTTACGTCTCAATTCTTCATCGTATTATGCCCCTAATACCTG